CACGCGAGACAAATATGGAATGAGAGGATGATAAAAATAGTCAACATGAACTTCACGTCCTATCGTTGTTGCCAACAGTTGTCGAGCTGGGTCGAAGCTTACTTGATGGGTTTAGCACGAACTCCTGGGGGTGGAGCTTTCTTCCCTTCGAGCCTAACGAATCTAGTTACCGTTGCAGATTCCACACACGCATGAGCATACAACATGACCTGAAAGATACCATCCCCAACAAGTCGATTTATACTCCCCTTAGTTCACCTGCTGACCCTTCACGATCGGTACCGAGGTATCGAAAACAACAATCTTAGCTCGTATGACAGTGGAGACTTGGCAGGCTGTGCTATTGGCAGCAGCAGCACAGAGCACCGAACCTCTGATGACCATGTACGGGTCCACACCTATGAGCATGAAGATAGTGCTAAAGAATATCTCGGGTATCCTCCTCACCTTGCAGTGTTGCTAGATCGATATAGTCTCCAGGGTACCCCTCAGCATTAACACTCATCTGTACGTCTTCACCATTACGGTATCTACCATTTGCTCATCGTGTACTCGGTTAATCGGCATTCGTGCGTTGACGAAAGTATAGAGATGATAGCGATGAACAGAGCGACCAAGCATAATACGATGCCATATTTGAAGATAGACTCTACTATGGCCATCGCAACTTTCATAGTAAGTAAGGAGCGATAACCTTCCACTATAGAAAGGGGTAATAGACACTGAGGGTGTTTTAATATGATGACCACCGCAAGTGCCTCCAAACCAGTTCAACAACAGCTTACACATTTCTGATTGTACACACACTCGAGTCATCTCCCCGACCAGGAAGCACAACGATCTTCTGCCCGCTCTTGAATGTTCCTTGCTCAACTCGACCTGATATCTGATAGAAAACATGCGTGCTTGCCAAAGGATAATGCCAAGTTGAACCTCAGATATCCTCACCTGAGCCCCACTGCTGGACTTGTATACATCAGCCACTGCTATCCTCAAGGGAGCAGAGAGCGATGCCTTCGTGGCACAGCACTATCAGTAGAAGCCGACTCTGCCAGTTTGTCGATAGCTGTCACCAACGTGTCACCTACCGGAACGAATACTACTATCATGTGAATCACTGGATAATGAAACCGTTTGCATTCATGACACTACAGATGTCAACGACAAAATACCGACATAA